CTAACTCCTGAGTATTGCACGTGCTTCCGCTTCATGCCTCTCGGCCGGCAAAGGTGTCCTCGCCCCGTTTGAGACCGGACGACCAACGACTAAATGAGGTTCCCAAAAACTAGGGGCCTCTTTGAAGGGGGTGTAGGGCCTACAAAATCATGTGTGTGTATATGTGTAATTACATGGATAGACTTTAAGGCTTCCAAAAAAAAAGGGACCGGGGGGGATCCTTTTGGGAATCACCAGAGCAAATATCATGGTACAGTGGTGTCCTTATTGGGGCGCCCTATATCCGCTGATTGTCAATGACAAGCAACACATCAAGCCATGCCCCCTTGTGAAACATAAGCCCGCATAGATTGGGGAAGCTCTCGCCGTAAACCCCCCAAAGCCCTAAACCCCCAAACCCCTAAACCCCTAAACCCCTATAAACCCCAAACAGGGCCTCCTTCCCCTGGCTGCACCTGCAGTCTGGCTGTTGTCGGGAGCACTTGTCAAATGTTTGAAGCTTCTTCTTCTTCTTTTTTGTTGGTGCTGCTATAGTGTCAGTAGAAGCCCCTTTACGGGTTTAACGGCTATGGTGCTTGGAAGTTGGGGATCTGCCACTTGCACACACAGGTATATGTAAATACATGCCGTGACCTTACCCTCGCGGCGTCGTGACACACAGGTCCGCCGACTCGAGCCTAGTGCTCTCCCTCTACTACGGACGTATATCCACAAACTCTGGGGGTTAGGGTTAGGGTGGGGCCTTCAAACAGTGCAAGCAGCGAGTCTCTCAACCCTGCATACTTGCAGCAAAGGTCCTCTAGGCTGCAACGAGTCTAGAATAATCTGGGTATATATATATATATATGAATTCGCGCGGTCGAAGGTTTTCATGGGCAGGATCTCAGAGCCATTGCGAAATTCAAGCAAACAATGTTTTTTGGTGTGTTGAGAGATAGTTTAAGAAACTAAATATAGATAGAGCTCCTCATCTCTTTAACCGAACTACCAGGAAGTCAGAAGCAAGGGAATCAAGGCACAAAAAAGGTAGGTACATGGGAGGAGGGCCATATACAAATGTGTATATATATATACATATATACATATATGTGTATCTATATTACGTAATTCATAGGGTGGTCTTATCGTAAGAAGTTGAGTTCCCTAACTGCAACCCAGTTCGCCATATCACCGCCCCATCATACATAGCCTGCATAGAAAGGATCCCTCATGCAGGGGACTTCGGAATTTGTAGCTGTTGAAGGTTTAGGGTACTGCGCCCATTGCCTGGATCTCTCTCTCTCTCACTCTCTCACCCCTCCGAAAAATCTTGAGCCCTGATGTGGGACTTTCCAAAATGTAAAAATCACCTTTAGATGGATTCTCACCATACGGAATGTAAACATTTCTGGCTCTACATATAATAAAATGGATCCCGATATTCATGGAACTCCCACACGTTGCAAGTCATGTTCCTGCCAGGCTCCCCCAGCGGCGGCTTAGGATCCAATAGTGGGAATCCGGCACTTCCTTGTGCCATTGCCTTGCAGTGTCGCGGTCATAGATTGGTTGATTGGTTTAGGGTTTAGGGTTTAGGGTTTAGGGGATTGATTGATTGATTGATTGATTGATTGAAGCCTGTGAGCAGTCACGCTCCACGTTATTAGGCATGGCCAGGTCAGGAGACCACTGCTCTGTTGGCAAGCAGCCCATCACTGTACACGTAACATGTCTGCACAGCTCCCAGGGTTTGTTGAATATATTCTATGACATGAAGTTCCCCCTCTACATACTTTAGGATCATATAGTTGTGTATAAGCTTTAGTTTAAACTTGGTTTTAGGGACTGCCTAACAGGAACTGGAAAACCTCATGTGGCTAGCCGAAGTTCGGTGATTCGTGCTGATACGCGGTCTTGGTCAGGATTTCATTCTTGTCAGAGCTTGATGCCAGCAATCCGTGAGCCCCAAGCTTTCAAACCTAAAGCTTAAGCCTGGAAACCCTTCACCTGCAAACCAAACCCTAAGGGTCCAGGGACCCAAATAATAGGGTTTTAGGGCCCAAATACCATTGATATAAAGTATTTGGGTCCTAAAACCCTATTATTTGGGTCCTTGGACCCTTAGGGAAAAACATCGTTTGAAGGATCGGAAGTCTGGACTCCGCTGTTAGGACTTCTCGCACAAATTTGGGAAGCTGAAGGCCTGGCTGTAGCTCAAAGGGTCCCAAACATAGGGACTACGTACCCAGACCATTTGGTAGTTTCCCAAAATTAGGGGTACCTTTTTAGGGTCCCTATAATTAAGGACTATAGTATTTTGGGTCTATATTGGGGTCCCCTTATTTTGGGAAACTACCATTTCTACTCTGAAAGCACATTTTGTACCATGTAGGTGCTTTGGACCGTTGCTGCAGGTCTTGCCATAAGATTGGGGCCAAGTGCGACCAAACTATTGTCAGAATCTTACTGCTGCGCAGCGCAACAGCCCTTATGAAGCCAGTGGCACTCACGCGCCTGGGACACGCCGCCCAGGAACAGCCTATGAAAACTGACGCCTGGGCCAAAATGACCGCGGGAGATGCAACCTGACGAAAGCGTATGGAAGTGCAATAGTGAACTAACTGCTACTGTGATCCCAAATTTTCAAGAGTACCTATAACTGCATGATACCGAGCAAGGTTTCGTAGAAATAGAAACATCCCAAGGCTTGGGTAAGCATTTTAAGCATGGGTACCTCGGACCCTTTGGAATGGAAACGCTGTACGTGTACGAAAACATAAAATCACCAGCTACTCGAACGTTATTTCAAAGCTATCCATCTGACCAAATCTTGAAACGCCTGGTATGGCCAAAGCTTTGCATGTATTGTCCAGACCAGCTGCACAGGTGCCTGTGCTTCGTATGTGGTGTTTTATGTCTGGAAAACAGGAAGGTTATCCAAATCCAGCACGCTGAGGATGAGCTCGTTGGTTTTCATTCTTCCGGAAAGGTACCATTGTATGGATATCCTGCCTAAGTGGCTCAACATCGCTATGCATAGCGGCTCCGCTGAGTCCGCTTCATAGGTTGCAAAACGTAAAGAAACCATGGACTCCCCAAGGTTGCATTGACCTAAACCCCAAACCAAAAACCCTAAACCGGAAGCCCCATGACCAAGTCCTACACCTTGATTTCTGCGAACCAAAAAGACTGAACCATCCTTGGCCCTTAACTAGGACCAACTACAGGAGGAGAGTTTAGGGTTTTAAATGTTGGGATGTTATATGAGCTATAGCCTAAAATCCGAGTATGCCCCGAAATAAGCCCTAGAATAGCCCTATATGGTCCCCTATAAGGAGGTGACAAACAATGGGGATTTACATATTGGGTAAATGAGGCTTATGTCAGGTCCTTACACGGTCATTTCCTTCCTGTAATTGCCTCAGACTTAACCCCGCGCGAGCAAAAACCAACATAAGGCAACCCTAGGCGTGAGCACTTTCCAACGTGGTATGCTGCAAAGCAAACCATAGACGGGAAGTTTCTACCACAAAAAAAGTACCTCAAACGACGTAGGTGCTTCAAACCTTGTTTCCACGCACCATGACGTCTGCAATTGCTTGCGAGACAGCGCCTTTGGCGGCTGCATGCAACTAACTCTTCAACGGGACACGTGTGGCCATGTAAACAGGATGCAGGGACAGGTTAAGGGCGTACGATTTAGGGTTCTGTTCTTGGGGTTCAAGGTTCTTCAAACTAAAAGTCTGCTTCGGGAATTGACATTCAACGAACGTCCGTAAATGAGTTTCTAAGTTCTATATCGCAACACCAAGCCCCAAACCCCAAACTCCGAACCTTCAGCCCTCAACCCTAGACCCCTCACGTTGAACCCCTACACCCTAAACCCATAGCTGTCTGTTTGCCCGGACACTTCTTTGAGAATCAAACGAATGGCTGCGGAGTTTTTCTCTAGGTCAGGAGCCACATGAGGGTTTATAAGACATGCAGACATGACATTGCTGGCTGTAAAACAACACAGTTCAATAGCCTCAATTAAGACGGCCTTTGGACTATGTTACTTAAATAACCTGTATTTGTATTTACGCAGTAAATAGATTTGCGGGAGCATATTCTAGATGGGCTTCGTGCTTCGCATAGTACCTTCACCCTCTTGCAGTTCGGATGTTGGCCACCGCACCCCCTGCGGGTCTCCCCCCCAAGAAAGAAAAGAAACGTAAGTATTGAATGACTATAATAGGGTCTTATCATAGTGGTTTGGGCTACCCAATCCTCTTATCACCTGGTTTGGGGTCAATGTATCCAAGAATGTCCATCATTTTCCCTGGGCTTCCCAGCGGTATCCTACAAGAGTATAACTCGAAACACTAAACCCTAAGCCCCAAACCCCAAACCCATGATGAAGGTCATGCGGTTGTCCCCTCCAAGTCCAGAACAGAATCCACTAATCTGTGAGTATTGTTGAGGTATCACTCAAAGTTGCCATATTCATTCTGTATTGGCCATGGTGGTTTCTTTCAACCCTTTACAATCTCCTAGACACTTCAACTCTCTCTTCAGGCCCAAGTACGCACTATTAGGGGCCCTGTAACCCCAATTCAGGGTACTAGGAGGGTCCTGGATGGCTTCTTTCCATTGTTACCCGACTTACTATAGGCAAAGCTTACCCGTGTCGATTCACTAAGTCTTACTAGGAGATCGCTGTTTGGAATTGTTCTAACCGTCTGAAGGGGCGTTTGCTTGTTAATGGCATGTCTTTGTCTGTACCAGGGACTGTTACAAATAAAGATATAAAGAGATTGCACCCGGATTATGGGGGTCCCGGTTGCGGAGCGTATAAGAACCGGAACCATCTACTCCTGGAAGAGGACGGATAAACGGAGACCTACATATTGCATCCTTGCAAAAGCCACGCACAAATTTTCACCGAGATAGACGGCATGCATTTCTTTGTCATCAGCCGGATTGGCGAATCTTCATGAGTGCCTCCAATGGATACAACACCTCCGTGCGGATGATGTATTTCACCTCGGCTGAGGAATCAACGAAACTAGTGATAGAGGCACCTACAGCCTGCCTGGAACTAGGTACACCAATAGGCATATGACAGAACACTACCGTTTTCCAACATACGAGTAATAGTGGAATTACTGGATATCTGCCTGGTCTCAAGAGACGGACAGATTAAATCCATCGTCTGTTCTCCCTTCTGACGACGGGGGGCGGCTGCTGCAATTTTCTGGAGGTCCCCACATCCAAGGCAACCGTCGAAGCCGACTTACACGCTGTCGGCAAGGCACCCAAAAGAGAAAAGAGATTTCAGAGAAGCTGTGAAAAAATGTGTGTTTCAAAGTCTTGCCCTGGGCGGCCGTCCAGCACTTGTGGGGTCTCCTGTTTAATATTAATTACAGTGGTACCGAATACAGCGCAGAAAACCATGTTCAGGCCCCGTTTTGTTGGCTTGTCTTGTTTCTAAGCCACATTTTGGCCTTTGGTAAGGGACGGCCACGCCAGCTTCTGCCACCAGGCGCGAAATTCTTCCGGATGCAACTCCTGTTTCATGCCTCGCACTTAAATCCACTACTTCTCTTGTGGTTGGTGGCAAAAGAAGACTAAGATGGCGTCCCACAGACTCTGGGGCAGTGCTTTCCTGTCTAAGTCCTGCGCAACCCGCAACTTCATGTAAGGAAACCCTGTGTTTTACACACTTATTGGGGCTATGGTTTGAGGCCGAGCAGGTAAGGCAAATGACCGAACTCAAGATGCACACCTGATTTGAGGTCGAGGCCCCTGGCTCTGGAGATCTTGGATTTCATCGAAATAGTCCCTATGTAACTCCCAAAAGGAGACCCCCCCATAATCCCCTTCTGATCCCTAAACATCCGTAGGCTTCCTCAGGAATGCCCATTTTAAGAAACCTCCACTTGTGGACTCGTCGCGTTCTAGCAGTCTAGCCCCAAGCCGCATGCTGTCCTTTTGGGAAGCACGGCCTCCGCAAAACTCTACATGGGGAGGTCTCCTCATGTCGGTGTGGGCTTTAGGGTTCATACCTAGGGAATAGCAAGGTCACCCTGTAAAAAGCTCCAGAAAGGGACCCACTAGTTTGAGAAACCCTGCAAATTGCCATCTGGATCTGGCATGGGGATGCAAAGTGGAAAGGAACCCACGAGCAGCTACCAGCAGGTGGTGTTTTTCTATAGGCTTTAGGGTGGGGCATGGCCCCAAGAACAGGGTCCCGAAAACAGTCTCTGTCTAATCCTGAATATGGACCTCCATATTCCCCTCATAATCCCTATATATCCCTAGGGTCCCTTGAAACCCCCAGCTTGGAGAAACTCCCATCTTCTTGTAGTAGGTACTTGTGACGTGCTGCTGGGCTGTGAGGGGGTCAACGAATCTAGGATTGCGGTTTAGGGCTTATTCGGAGTCACAATACAACCCCCCCACACATGTACCCCCCCAGGGTTCTATATGGAGCTTAATAAGGCCTTATAGGGTTCTGAATTTTTTGTGGGGGGGTACATGTGGAGGGGAGTGTCTCAGAATAGTTGTAGGGGTCTTGGTAGATGGATTACACGAACCCCTTAAACCTAGACCGGACACCCTAATGGGTTTGCGCCCAAAACTTTGTTTGACCTGAACCCTCGCCCTCACCCCTTGATTGTGGGTTCAGCCCCAGCCACGCCAGCATGGATCGGCGCCCCCTCGTGCAGCGGGCTGTCCTTGCTTCGACAGACGGCAGGCCGATTACAAACAAACGTTTATATGAGCCATAGTCTAAACTCCTAGTATCCCCCTTCATAAGCCCGATAGTACACCCCTACAAAATCCCGTGTATAACGCCTTTTAGGGAGTTTAGACTACAGCTCATATGGCAAGGGGTGCAGGCTTTATGGTTTATCGAGTATATAGAGGGCTTGTTGCTATTTGAAAGACCTGCATGGCGTCAGCGTACTAAAATACCAAAACCATAACGTGCTCAGGGTCATGCTGCTGAGTATCAATCATGTGTATACAGCTTTTTGGAAGTAAGCCGTTAGCCCTACACCCTAAACCCTAGAAACCCTACAGCCTAAACCTTAAGCGCTACACCCTGAACCCTACACCCCCAACCCTGAACCCTACACCCTAAACCCTACATCCTAAACAGTAGAGTTGAAGAAACATAAAAGGCTAGGTACTCTGGGGGGAGTAGCCATGTGGAGGAAGACTTCACACTGAGCATTGACACGGCTTAAGTATAATTACCCCAATTGGTTCATGAGGTTTGGAGTTTAGGGTTTGTAGGTATGTAATAAAAACTTAGACCAAGGTTGTTCCCATATAGCTGCTTTAGGGCCCGAGTATATACTGTATAGCTACATGTACCCTCTGGGAAGGATTCATGGTCTAGTGGAAAAATGTAGAAGATCGGGGTGCTACTTTCATCCTGGTGAGGAGCTTCAAAATGTTTCACGCACCTCAAAGCAACAGTTGGGCCCTTTACTTCTTGGAGATCGTTGCACAGTCTCGCGCAGTCTTCCGGGGGCCTACACCTCTTGAATTTTGGTAGGGAGTTCCTGTAACATTGCCGAACATTAAGAAAACAAGCATCTGGGTGGTATCCATGCGGGAAGACGAGAACGCCTCCACGAGGCGTTCGCACCGCCACGGAAGAGTCTTCCTGCGAGTTGTCACAAGTTTACCGTTTGGGCTTTCTGTTTTATGGGGGACATCCCACCCCAAGACTCTGAACTCTAAACCCTGAATCGCGTTTGAGACCTGTGGGGTGTTAGATTTAGGATTCTGGGTGTTGGATTTAGGATGCTGGGGTTTTGGATTTTTTGCCTGGGCTGCGAGGTTTAAGTTCTAGGAACACCACTTTGCTATGTGTCGTCAGACCATTATAGTCCCCCTTAAGTAGATAGAATGTGGCTTTGGGTATATTATAGTAAGATCCCCATATACCCCATATTCTATCTACTTAAGGGGGACTATATCTATAAGAGGCCGCGGAGGCTTGACCTTTTGCAGTGATAAGCAGAAGCAGCTCTCTGATCGTTCGCGAGCCGCTTCGCGTCTAGGTCGCGCTTTGCGGCTTTAGACTTCAGGAACCTAGAACGTACTCGTTGGATGATAATTCTATGGCATGCGTCCCTAAACCCTAAACCCTACACCCTTAACCCTAAACCCCAAGTGTCCAAAACAAGGATCCCTCTGCTTCCCCGAGACCAGCAGATCTTCTGACGACAGACCGGAAAAGACAACCAACAACTAAACTCCTTAAAGAGGGGTTCTATAGGGGTATATATTGGGCACTACTATAGCTATAGGGGTTATAAGGGGCATACTAGGAGTTTAGACTATACCTATGAAGCGCGACAAGGTCAGATAACAGGGAATTCCATGATCCAGGACTTCAAGTTGTTGGGAACGACGATTAATTTGAAACCTATAGTGCAAAACCCAGAAGCATGCTCCTCGTATCCTCCACCTTGGAGTATTCTGCTCACTCTCGACCCTAGATCCCCACAACACCTATGAACCCTAAATCCCGAACCCCAACAGATGTTAATGGAACTTACCATTAAGTTACCATAATATGGGTATATAGTGATTTATAAGGCTTCCTAGGAATCTAATCTAAGTTTCTTAACATCAACCCAGTAACTAAACCCTAAACCCTAGACCCTAATTAAACCCAGTGAAAGTCTAACTAAACCCCGAGCCCAAAACCCTAAACCCTGAACCCTAGACCCTAAACCCAGTGAAAATCTAACTAAACCCCAAACCGTAAACCCTATACCCTAAACCCTCCCACGCCCTAAACCCTCGCAAGCCCAGCCGCTCCAGAAGGAAGCGGGTGGCCCCTCCTTCGTAGTCGTCCTCCCAAGGCTTGGCATTTGGGAATCCGCTATTGGGGTTACCTAGGGGCTTGGGGTTTAGGGTTTGGGGTTTAGGGGTTTGGGGTTTAGGGTTTAGGGGTCACATAGGGGCATCAATGAATCAAGGGATATTTTGGAACGTAATATAGGAACAGCCGTTTAGGATGTATACGTTTAGGATTCAAAGGGCTTAGACATGTAAGCCATGTACGAGTATGCCGGAACTTCAGGCAGCGAGTACCTGGTTTCGGCCGGGACCCTTGAAACCTTCAACCCAAAAACCTATATCCTACAAACCCGAAACCCTAAGGCCTAAACCCTTAGTCCTTTCACCCTTAAACCCCAAACCCAAACACTACTGTTGATATCTTGCACCACCTTAAGTCCCTAAAGTCCTAGGGATTACAGTAGTTTAAGACCCCTAGGTAGTGCAAGATTTCATCCATCAACAGTATGTCCAAACCTTTGCCCCGGGCGTCGCATCGATCAAGCGCTACGACCTACAACGTTCTGATGACAAAGACAGACTAATCACCAACATCGGTTTTGGCTCGGGCTCAGGATTCAGGATTCTCCGTTGTGACCCTTCCATAATTTTAGCAAAAATTGGGGTCGAAACCCTATTCTTCTGGTATACATATATTCTGTACTTATATTTACATAAACGTAGGCCCCTACATACATTCTAGACCACCCAGCGGCAGCACGCTTCTGGCGAGTGCCACGAAACAACCTGCACTGTCCCAAAGGGCCACAAGAGCAATATTGTACATACTTGGGCCCCAAAGAGGTTGCACAGCCCCTTTGGGCCCTAAGTATCCCCTATATGAGCCATAGCCTAAACGAAACTCCTAGTATCCCCCTTAATAGGCCCTATAATACTCCCCTATATAACCCCCATTTTCGAGTGTTGGAGCTTCTGAGACGAACAAGGAAGCTCTGTGCAACCCCTATGTAAACCCACACTGAAAGCCTGAATTTTCTGAAGTGCATAATGACTACCGGAGACCAGCCTTAAAGGAAGCCAACGAAAACTCGGAACCCAGAACTTTCTGGACTCCTTAACTCCTTTTGTCCTCAGTGCCAGGGTTTAGGGTTAGGGTTTAATCCCACGCAGAATTCCCAAAAAGACTGCACGTCTTCCCTGAAACCCACATGCTCAGCTGGAGTGCAAACCTCTAACCTTGGAGATCCAGCAAACATGTTTCTGCAGCAGTTCCCTAGACCCGAAACAAAGCAGAAAACTGAACTTACAGGATAAGCCGAAGTCCTAAGCACCTGATCCTCAACACTAAACCCTACGTCCTAAACCCAACACCCTGAGCCCCTCTTCCTCAACCCTAAACCCCAAACCGGGTCCGTCAAAAGAATCAGAAAGGTAAGCTGGCTGAATCGATCTCCATAGGCATCGCCCTGAAAGCCTGGCTTTCTCAGGATTTTGGATCCTAGGTCTTTATAGCTCTGGCTGCGGTATAGGAAGCAGGGATTATAGTTGCGGTATAGGAAGCAGGGATTATAGTATTTATAAGTGGAGGAAACCTCCCAACATTTTGAACCGACAACTCCTAGTCTATGTGGTATGGGAGGTGGTTAGAACCATCTGTGAAGGATTTATCTAAACCCTAAACCCGACTCATCATTTTACAGGCCTGAGGCTTCCTAATCAGAACGGCGCTTAGGGTTTATGGAGATTCCAGAGGGTCCCAGCACCCAATGATCAGGTACGTGGGTTTGGGGTGATAGTACTTATAGTACAGGTTTTGGGGTATATGATTAGGTCCTTGGACCCTTAGGGGACTGCAAGGACGTATTGAATTCCTGCGGCCTAATCTTTTGAACCTCTCCTCCCGACATGCCTACATCTTCGCATCCCCAAGCCCCCTCAAAACCTCAAACCCTAAACCCTCAGACATGCATTGCAAAGCTTGAATGCCCTTCCACCCAAAATGCCCGTCGACCTTCTCATGAACCCTAAAGCTGGAGACCTCGAAACATAAATTCTAAGCTTGGGACACAAAGTCGCCCAGCTATATCTGCTGCACCCCTAAACTCAGGACAATGCACCCCAACCCCGCCCCCCCGTAGCCCCCAAGACCCTAAACTATCCATCCTAGATCCTGAGCTATGTACCCTACACTCCAAACTATACATAAACCCTAATTCCAAAACTATGTACCCTGAACCCTAAGCTATGCACCCTCAGTGCTACAGCGCATACTTTAAGCCCAAAAGTCCTGAACCCTAAACATTAAACGCCCAAAAATCCTAACCCCCAGTACCTTAAGCCCCAAACCCGACAGCCTTCCTAAGCTGTAGTTTTTCGTTTCAGCTGCGGCCTTTGTCGGTGACCCTGGAGCCCGGCCACGCTCCATCCGTATGAGGCTTGAAGTAGTCGCCGGGCTGATATCCTCACTTTATGGCGGTGGGTTTTGGGTTTTGGGCTTCCCTCTGATTCAGTGCATAAGGTTGAGAAGAATAGGGGGTTCGGAACAAGGGTTGACAGGTGGTTGAGGGTTTGGGGCTTCAGCCTAGGTGGGTTCAGGATTTAGCGGTTTGGGGTGTAGGCACAGACGTGGCGCTGAGTATCCTGGCATTCAAGATTTCGCGGCTAGTGGATTCCAAGGCTAGATGTCAAGGAGTTGTCCAGGGGTGAGGTTTGATGGTTTAGAGTTTTGACGGCTTCCAGGATGTGGGGAATGTTTATGGGATTGGCGTTTAGGGATGTTTAGGGGCAAACACCAGTTCAAGGTTTAGCATTGGGTTTGGGGTTTGGCATGTTGGCATTGGCTGCAATTCTGTTGTTGCTAAACCCTAAAACCCTAAACCCTAAACCCTAAACCCTAAACTCAAAACCGAATCAGAAAAGCCTGGGGGGAACCCGAGAGCCTTGTCAGCTAAGGACCAACCACAGGACGGGAGAGTTTACATAAGAGATATTCTAGGGGCAAATAGGGACCATGGGAAATTCTGTAAGGCGGATATGAGGCCTATGGAACGTCCTTACATGGTAGCCTTCCATCCTGTAATTCCATTACACAAGTTTTCATGTGTTGATAACTTAAGGTCTTTCATGTTTGACCGTCATGCCTCAACATCGGGGTCCCACTCGTACCCTCCTAGACAAGAACCGTTGGTTCTAGAAACATACGGACGCAAGAGCTATAAGAGGGAATCATTCGCAAGTCTGTAGCAACGGCCCTAATGCTTACAGCCTACTTTATAAACTATAAGCCCTACAGGCTACCATCCTAAACTTGGTATCCCTGCGAAGATACCTCGACAGAACCTGCGTTGCTGTTGTTAAGGACTTAATTTATGATATTATAATGGAGGAACCATATTAACTACTATACTGTATATGTATATATAATATCCATGATGGTAATGTAATTTAAGTTCCTTAATCGCAACCAAGTAACATGATTTATATTCCCTGCTAATTTGAAACTGGCAAGCAAGAGGATGTTCACGTTTTAGGGGGTCGCGGTTTGGACGAACATAGCATTTGCAATAAATTTACAGTGATGCTTCGGAGGACCCCCCCCCAGCCTGTAATAGTAGTATAATACGAATATCACAAAGCCCTTATTTCATCCTTATTATCCCTTCTAGTCACTATTGCAGGGTGAGGGGTCCACCTGAGGCTCATTGCTTAGGTGTGAAGAGCTCTTGGCATTAATTAGCAACACACCAACAGGCAGCACTTCTATGACTTTTCCAGATCAGGGGTCCTTGCCATAGGCGCATGCTCTGAGGCTGTACCGGCTAGCGAGTTAGGCTTGGGGTCCAGGGTTTAGGGTCCAGGCTTTAAGGTTTAGGGTTCAGGGTTTGGAGTTTAGGGTTTGGGATTGAGGGTATTTAGGGTTTGGGATTGAGGGTATTTAGGGTTTGGGGTTGAGGGTTCTGGGTTTGGGGTTTGGGTGTACACTGTTTACAATGTAGGGCTTGGTGAGACCAAACACGTGTAATGATGTGAGAAGCCTTGCTAGCTTCCAGCTCAAGCTAATCGCGAACCCTAAACCCTAAACCTAAACCATCCTAAACCCCAAACCCTAAACCCCAAACGCTAAACCCTAAACCCCAAACCCCTAAACCCTAAACCCCAAACTTTACACCCTAAACACTGCACTCTAAACTTTAGCCAAGGTGCTGTAGCACCGAAACTTGGCATTCAGGCCTACTGGCTTGTAGCCCGCAATCGTCGGCAAAAGATGCTCGCAGCCTTCTATAAGCTGATAAGGTTTCGGGTTTCGGGGTTCAGGGTTTTAGGGTTGAGGGTTTGGGGTTTAGGGTGTTATTCTCGAACGCTAAACCCTAAAACCTCGAAGCTATATGAACATAGCTTTTCTTGAAAAAGCTACTTCACTGACGTTGTTATTCTCATGGGCAAAAGATGTTTGCAGCCTGCTACAGCGAGACGCAGTTTAGAGTTTAGGGTTTGGGGCCTTAGGGCGTTTTAAGTTTTTGGCTTTTGGGTTTTGAGCTTTAGGAACCGTTCGGGTTGGGGTGTAGGATGTTCAGGTTTCAGGGTCCAGGGCATGGGAGTTTCTGCAAAATGGGATGAATGGTTACGGTTTAAGGGTTTGTCTAGGGTAGTTTCGAGCCCTACATCGTAAACCTTTTGACGGATTTTTTGGGCGTACGTGGATGGGCCCCCACCTTTTTGGACAGACCTCCATTCTCAAGGTACGCAGTCAAGCAGCGCTTGTACAGCAGCTCGTCCACAAACTCAGGCACGCACAGGTTGCAGTTGGTCATGTGGCGGAATGAGTAAGGCAGTGACACAGCCTGGGACACATAGGGACTCGGGAGCTATAGGGCGATGGGAGGGACATGGAGATCTGCATAGGCAGCTGTTGGGCATTGACAAAGACACGCACCCTACCTAAACCCCAAAAGTAGGTAAAATAGTGGCTATTATTCTACATACTTTGGTGGGCCCAGGTAGATGCTGTACCCTTAAAAATGCAGGGCGCGGAGGCTGATGGATTCGAGGTTAGCAAGGGGATTCGAGGTTAGGTCGACCGTGGGGTGCAACTGACTCCGACATGATACCAATAAGTTTAGGCTGTAAGGGTAATAGAGCAGGTGGACCCCTCGCCCAATAATGGTGACTATCCGGATTTAAAGGCCAATATTAGGGTCCTCGAATATTCCTATTATACCACTATTGCAGGGGGTCATAAGTAATAGCCATAGTGAAAGCTGCGGGCAAGCATAAGCATCATCCCCCCGGGCTAAGGCTGAAGCCTGGAGAATTGGGAACGGTTTCTCATATCAACTTCTTGGAAACACAAAAGACACAACCCGGAAACCTGCCATGATTGTAACCCTCACGTGACTTGAAAGCCTAAAGCCATATAGTCCCTCTTAAGTAGATAGAATATGGGGTATATAGGGATCTGATTATATTATACCCTCAAAGCCATACTCTATCTACTTAAGGGGGACGCCCTAAACCCTCAACCCGCAAGCGGCTAAGGCACAGCATCCGTGTGGAAACCAAGCTCGTCCAACACTGCCTGAAAGGCCTTCGGATGAGAAGCCCGTGTTGTAGGGGTAGTTGGATTCGGGTTTAGGGTTTAGGGGTTAGGGTTTAGGGGTTAGGGTTTAGGGGTTAGGGTTTACGGTTTTGGACTGAGCGCCTACCTAGACCTGCAAAGTTGGGGTCGAGGAACCTACTTGGAGGTTCAGGGGCATTTCGAAAGTAGACGCATAACCCCTATCAGCCTTGTCACAACCACAGTTATCCCCACTATTCACTCCTTACTAAGTGCCCTTGACCCTCAACCCTAAACCCTAGCTCCTAGACCCTAAAACACCAAAACTCTACACCCTAAAACCCTAAACCAAGTTAAGAAGCTAAGAAGGAATCTTTAAAGCCGCATTTCAGCATGGCGGCTATGCGGGTTTAGGGTTTAGGGTTCTGGGAAAGATGTAAACCTTACCAAGGGCTGCTATGTAGTTCCTTGTTTGGTTTGACTTGGTTCTCTGGTAGCGGATTTTCGTATACTATCCGCCAAACAAGGAACTACATAGGAGCCTCGAGCCTTAGGAATGCCAGCTTAGGGGCTCCGGGTTTAGCCTTTGGGGTTTGGGGTTTGCCAACACCTCCTCAATGGCCATAACGTGGCCTGCATAGGCCATTGCTTGGTACTATGTATTTGGGAAATCTGGTATCCATGGTCTGGGGGAAGCCCCCTTTGGACCCAAGACCACCTCCAAAATCTCGAAAAGGCTTTAGGGTTTAGGGTGACAGCGCCCTTGCATTTTTTTCAAGACACCCGTTAATAACCCCTATAATACTCCCATATACCCTCCCCCTTATAACCCCCCTTTAAGCAGTTTAGACCATAGCTCACATGGGGCCTAACCCTTTACCCTTTGCATCCTGAGCTTCAACTCCAAATTCTGCAAGAGGAGATTTCTGCCCACGGAGCCTCTGGATGAAGGGCATCAAAGCCCTCATACTTTTCCTCCTGAACCTCGAGCCCCTTTACTACCGTTTCCCCGACGACCCAAAACCCTCGGCCGCACACCGCCTGATCCCCAGCTCTAAAGCGAGCGCCTAGTTTGCATGAAAAAGTTCCGACCCATTACCACTCATCCTTCAACCGGTGCCTTTCATGAAGACATGTGCCTTTGGAGGCCATGACTGGAGAGAACTTCTGGGCAAATCATATATATATATATACATACCCTACACCCTAAACCCTAAATAGTAGTTTCCACTTTCGTTCCACTATCCCAATATAACCCCAATATATCTGTAATAGATACCGCATTCTACTAATTAGAGTTGCTTCCGTTTTCTTTTCCATTACCCCAATAAAACCCCAACATGACCCCTATAATGCCTGTAGTTTCCATCTTCTCTTCCACCATCCCAATAATACCCCTCTAAACCCTAAACCCGAAACTACTTAAGGCAAGCACGCTGCCTCACACTCCTCCTCGGACATGAGGTCCAGAATTTGAAAGCCGCCCGGCAAGCCCTGTACATCTTGCCGGCGCACCTGGGCTTAGGGTATAGGGTTTAGGGACTGTACATCCTCCCGGCGCACCTTTCGTGAGTTCGACGCTGATCGAGCGCTATACGGCCTAAACGACTACGGAAATGTGAAGTTTTCACGGGTTTAAACTATCCTATACCATAGCTCTGCCAGGCATCTGGTAGCATAGCTGTTGCAAGTTATTTCGGCCCTAACCCTCAACCCGAACATCCTAAACCCTAAGCCCTAGAGCATAGTCATAGTCAGGTTGAGCTTACTGCTGCTCAGTAGGGGCGAAGAAAATATCCTCCCCTGAACCCCAAACCAAAAGCTCCAGTAAGTATGGTTCCTAGGAAGGGTTGCCAGTACTGAAGCTGTTTAAACCCGAAATGGGAGTATGTATATAAATATTTGTGTACATATGTGTATCATGTTGTGTGTATATATACATACACATACAAGCCTCAGGAGTTACAGCCAATATTTCTTACATATTGTAATGGACGTCGGTGTTCCTTCTTAGGAAATTTGTTAGGGCAAACTACACGAAGGACTCCAACGTCCACTGTTAGTGGTCCTTACTAAAGCTAATATTGACAATAACTCATATATACCTCTCTTCTTCTTCTCCAGGCTGTAAACCCGCCCCTAACAGGCGGGTCAGGGCACTGCCCGAGCCCCGCAGGTTCAGTCTGTGGTCGGGACCAACAGGTACACAAGCCACTCACTCAGGAAGTCGCAACACCCTCTCTCTCTCTCTCTCTCTCTCTACTCCCTGCATATCCAGCATCAATAAAAGTGTCTCTAAAGATTTGAGAAGTCCCCAAATTGTGTCGGTAATGGGGGCTAGTAAGTGGGGGCTTAAGCTTGCAAAACCTGTGAGAAAGCACGAAACACAGCACAACTGGGCGCAACTGTCGGGTTTTGCAGCGCTTTGCACGCGCGCGACTGTCAGAAAATGGTGCCTTAGCTGTCCCGATCTGCCTCCGAAACGACACGACTATGGACAAATGTGGTCCATTATAAGTGTGCGTCCTTAAGCACCCCTCAAATTGCCCCCCCCACCAATCCACCAAAAAATTCCAATCGCCCAAAACCTGAGTCCTAGACACCAGGCCCTAAACCCGATTCTTTTTCAAGAATTTCCTACTGAGGCCATGACATTGGTCTGGCTCATGCTTGCTCGCAGCGGAAAGGCCACGTTCGGGGTGATCTGGGGTCAACGGTCGTCAGCAAGGGGGGCATTCTTAGAATCAAGGCGCCGTACTTGGAGGTCCATTGGTACCTGTGAGCTACTTATAACGGTGTTTTTCATCTCCTATGAACCCTAGCAAGGTTCATCTACCTCCAAGTGGGACCCTGGCGGCTCTACGGAGGTTCTGAGGATTCTGTGGGGCCACCTTGGGTGATTGTTTGGGCTCACTTGGAAAAACTCCCAGGTCTTTTTCAAACTATGTCTCTGGAGAGTGGTTGAAGGTTTAGCGCGACCCCACATCTATGTGCTATCCATAATCACGAAAATTCCGAACAGTATCGCCACGCAACCCTGTCCCCTAAACCTTCAACCCTGAAATCGGCACCCTACGTAACCTTAGCTGTTGAGGGAAATAAGCAATACTGCAGGAACAAGCAATTCTGCAAGAATATTCTGAAAGGCTTCCCCTGAAAAGTGCAACTGCTTCTTCTTCATCCTTATTGTCGACCCAGGCGGGCCTACAGTCCGCACCTCAAGCCCCTAGGCCCAGAACCCTCCACCCCTAAACCCTCAAACCATAAACCCTTAAACCCTGAACCCTCAGCCCCTAAATTCCTAACCCCTAGACCCCAGCCCCCAAACCCCTAAACCCCTAAATCCTCAAGCCAAAACCCTAAACCCTAAACCCCCTGTGTGATACCCTATATAACCCCCTATAAGGAGTTTAGATTATGACCTTTGTCTAAACTCCTAGTATCCCCGTTAATATCCCCTATTGTAGTCCCCTACATAATCCCCTATATAACCCTCTTTAAGGAGTTTAGACTATGGCTCATATAGACACTTATGCAACTCCAACCTCCGGGCGCAGAGCCCAGAGAGGCAAGTCGTCGCGTTCCTGTCCGTGCTCCGTGGCAGCAGTGTAGAACCTGCTGCGGGCTTGAGGTTTTAGGGATGAGGGGTAGGGATAGGTAGAGGTTACTTTGGGTTTAGGGCTTAGGAGTACCTACGCATACCACCATAGTTCCCTAGACCCTAAACCCTGAAGCCATGCCATGGCCCATGGCTGTAATCCAATGTCTCCCCAACGGGGCACCCAAGATATACATCCACCCAAAACTCCAGAGGAACCCAATGAAACCGAGGATAATACCCCACTTGACGCAGGCGCTTCGACCTTCTATGCATCTGTTTCGCAATTCTACCCTTCCGGTGCAAGCCAGTACCTACACCCTGATCCCTGAAAGCTGCAAACGAAAAACCTTGCTTCAGCGGTTCACTTCCCTGAAATCCCAAAGCGTCCAGGGTTTCTGTAGTAGTAATTTCCCTTATGGTTTGGGTAAGTATTCCCCATATGGGTCCTTAGGATCCTTTGGGAATGTGTTCGAACGCCCCTCCACCACTCCTTCCGGCTTACGGCCTTAAGGTACAGGGTCACATGCGCTAGCAAAGCTTCATTGTATACTACCCAACAAGAAATGGCATAGGAGCTTTCTGGGCAGGTTCAGACAAAGCCGTGCATGCCATCAACCTTAAGCCCTTAAAAACTATTCAAATTCAAAAAACTGAACCCTAAACCCCCAAACCCATAGAACACCAGAACCCTAACCCTTCATGCCCTAGCTGTCCATTGCCATTGTCCTTGTTGAGAACATCTATTAACTCGGAGTACCCCCTCTCATCTTTGGCTAGGTTTCGAAAGGGCCCCAAGTTTGGCAAATAGCAGCTGCCCTGAACGCTAAGCCCCAATCCAAGCATTTAGGCCCCTACATGACATTCCCTATGCAGGCCCTGCTTCGATTTCAGTTTCCGTTGTCATGTTCCGTCCAATTGTCTGTCTTATTCTCCACTACCCCTAAGCCCCATATGCACTAAACTTCCTAAACCCTATATGACACCAACAAACCAAAAAAATGCAAACCCTTAAAGCTAAACCCTCCAATGCAGAAGCCACTAAATGATCTCCAATCATATTTTCGAGCCATGATCATTTTCGAGCTATTTATGGTACCGTATAGCCTATACTATATAACATAATACTGGGAATTACTTATAGGCCCTGATATATACCCCTAGGGGTCCAAGGACCCAAATGATAGGGCTTTACGGCCCAAATACTGTCAAATACTATACTGTTAATGGTATTGGGGCCCTAAAGCCCTATTATTTGAGTACTTGTACCCTCAGGATAAACCAAGCCAAGCCACATCTCCCGCAGCTTCGGGGTGCTCGGGCAGGCGACGTCTGATGCGGCGACCGACATGGCGCGCAGCAGGTGCCCCAGGCGCATGGACCAAGGGTTCACAAGGGGCTCACCTGGGGACCCAGTTCTGAAATCCCGCTAGGCCCATAATCAGAAGAGTGTATTGTTTAACTCGACTTGGGGTTTTACTGAAATACATACGGATTTCGATTCCTAACCTGGCTACAGGATCGGGATGAAGAAACAGTGTTATTCCTTGATCATGCAAAAAACTCGCGGCGAAAGAGTCTCATGCCTGATCTGGGCGGTTCTTGTCAGCATGTAAGCCACCAATGGAACTGGCGAAGAAGGCTGCGGCATTAGATAATCTTCGATGCTGCCTCAAATCCCCCGGCGGGCAGCGATGGAGGTCAAAATTCTATCGTTCATACCCTACGGCAGCTTCTCTGGGCCCTTCAACCTGTATATGAGCTACAGTCAATATTTTCCCATATTATGTATGGTATAATGTATGGACATGGCTTTTGGGACTCGATTAAGGACTTTACTAAACTACAAGGGGGATCTCCACAATTAAAGGGTCCCCTGGACACTGCAGGCGGCGCTGTTGCACCCTTAGGCCCGGAAGACCTTCAGTTTTAGGATTTTGTATCAGGATGTATACCAAAGGTGCTCAAACTGAAGATCTTTTGGGTCTGTCAAAAAAATGCCAAGAATGGCCCTACCCAGAGCCTCCTATGTGTTTCCTTTTGGAGGCGTTCGGGGGGGGGGGGTATACGAAAATCTCACAGAAGACCATAACAAACCCGAATAGGAACTACACAGCAGCGCTTTGGTAAGGTTTTTGATTTGGCCACCATCATCAGCAGCACATCCTAGAAGGGCTTTGAACCGCAAGCAGTAATCGAAGTTGTTAGAAACTTGTATCGGCTTCTTATTACAAAAAGGCATATCGTGTACTATGCATCCATACTCTAGTAAGCTAGGTGGACCCCAACCCTGCAACAAAGGGAGAATATGGATTGTATTAGGGTCCTCTTGCATTCCGATTTGACTACTATTACAGGGTGAAGGGTCTTCCTAAATTGAAAGTCACGAATAAGTTGCTTTAACAGCAGCCCAGCAAGTCTCCAGGCCCCCGAAAAGAGGAAGCTTGGGAGCATGTACCCTAAGCCCTAAACCCCTAGAGCCTACACCCCCAAACCCTTAAACTTAAACCCCCGAAACCCCTAAACCTAAACCCCCAAAACCCATTAACCTAAAACCCCCAAACCCCTAAATCTAAAACCCCCAGACCCCTAACCTAAACTCCCCACCCTAAACCCTTAGACCTAAACTCCCCACCCTAAACCCCTATACTCCCAAACTGCATGGGATCATGGCCCCTTTCATGTCACGCAATCAGGGTTTAGGTTTTGGATCGAAGTTGATAGGGTTTTGGGTTTCAGGTTTTGGGTTTATTTGGATCGGAGTTGATAGTTCCTTATCCAAAGGATCCTAGGTACCCAACATGGGAATGCTTGCTATGGACCCCCTCCCCTTAATCGGTATCATGATATGGATCCCAATATTAAGGCCCTTAAAAGGAAGGGATTTAGCAATCACCCCTTTGTGGTACCCCTAAATATGAGGTGCCGTGAGAAAATTCGTAGCCAAAAGTTGCCCATGATTTTGAGAATAACGCGTCTGGAAGTTCCTACATAGTGCGAAGTATGTTTTCAGGGCCTCGGGGGACCCAAGTCGTTCTGACACCCTGAACCGACTCTCTACAGATGGCACACCCCCACGGTGCCAAGTTCTAGAGCACCGGTTTGGATCATAGCATCTGCATCAACTGGTCGTAGAGCAATATACCTTAACCCTGGTAGCTAGTTTCAATGTCTTCCGTTCCGTTACTTCCCTAGTCCCCACCAGTTAGTTTCCATTTGCTATCCCACGCACCTCACAGGCTTTTGTGCTTCGCAGTCTTTCTGCGTTGCGCAGTTCTGGCTTGGGCGAAAGCCGGCGGGACGGAGCTTCTCAGTAATATCTCCCACTTTCTCCCGAAGCAAAGACCTAGAATCCCGATCCTATTATATAATCCTTTCAAACTCGGGTGGTCCCTAGGATGTTGAGAGGCTCCTACGTCCTGGTCATCACAATTTCGTTAGGGACGGCCAGGTGGCTCACGTCGCATCCGAAGATGGCATCTGCTAATGGCTTGCCAGAGGACAGCTGAGACCTCAAAGAGCAAAAGGCGTAGGACCTACGGGTTTTGGGTGGGTTTTTGGGTCTACGGGTTTGAATGTAGGCTCAGGAATTTTAGTTTAGGGCTTAGAGTTTAGGATTTGGGGTTTCGGGCTTTGGAGTTCAAAGCCTCTTTGGCTTGGAATGCAGGAAGTTCTTGTGTTTTTGGTTTCGGGTTTAGGGTTGATTCTTACGGCTTCCATCAGGGCCTTCGGCACAGACTAAATTAGTCTGGGCTCTGCACTTTACAGTTGAAGGCAGTCCTCGAGTTTCGGTTCAGGGTTGAGTTTGGAGTCTAAGGTTTAGGGCTTAGGTTGCGCCCCCAGCCACTACTAGGGACAAGAAGAGGTACTGATAATTATATTAGGGCCTCTATAAAGTCTTAGTATACCACCATTGATTAGTGGGTGGGGGCCTACCCCAGGGGAAAATTATTTCGTGTTTAGGATTGTTTAGGCGCATTACCTACAAAAACTAAAATGGGAAAGAATACGGAACTTAAAATGGGAACTGGGGATTATGTAGGAGTTACATTGGGCACCTCTGGTTAGAGGATGTAGAAAGACACTGAAAACTTTGAATCAAGCTATTGGGGATGAAGTAGGAATAATTCCTTCAGTCCTTGTTAATGCCCTGAACCCTAAACCCCAAAGGTTTTTTGATGCAGGGCTTCTGTTCACAAGTCTGACAGTCTTCAGGGTCAGGTTGGGGCTCTGGCAGCTTCCATGGATGGGGCTTAGGGTATAGGAGTTCAGGGTTTAGGGTCTAGGAGTTTATTGCTTAGGCGTTTAGGGTTTAGGAATTTAGGGTTTAGGGTCCTTGTTATGTAGCAGAGAAAGGCGAGGGAACTCCAATGGTTGCCACTTGGTGAATGACCTCTTGCTCGCCCGAAGCTAAAGGACCGGGCCAAAACGTTGCGAAGCCACATCCCCGATTTCATGAGCGTCAAATCTCTTGATGGGACAATTTGAATCAATATTTTTGTGCAAGAGATTGACTGCTCTGCCGTGAGAACCACCCATACGGTGACCAAGGCTGTACAGACGGCACAGAACACCTTCTTCAGACCTTCCCATCCCAAAGGCACCGAACCACCCAAGGCCTTACCTAAACCCCAAAAGTNNATTATTTTACATACTTTTGGGTTCCAGGTACTAGTAGATCCACAGCCTTCAGCCCCAGCTCTCAAACCCTTTAGTCCAAAAAAATTCTTTTTGACATTGGGCAGGAATCTAGTCTGCCAGTTGAAGCTCAAAGGTTTCAAAGTACCTGCACTGTACAAAGTATGGTATCTGCAGTGGAAACTTCCCTTATGGTTTAGGTATGCCGTAGGTATCCCCTATATGGGTACCAATCAGCTTTCGATGAAGGTCGATGGCCCGCACTTTGAAAGGCTGCCGCTCCCCAGGGTTCCTAGACAACTTAAAATCGAGTGCCTCAACGACTGCAAACCCCAAACCCTGTTGCACATGTCTTCATAATCATCAGTATTGGCCCCTTACACACCTGACATAACTATAGTTTAACAAAAACCCAAACCCTAGCTTCATGAGTCAGGCCCCTACACTACGCTGCAAGCAGAAGGGTTGAGGTGTCTGAGGTCCTTGCGCAGCGTGGCCAAGCATGGACATCGTCGCATTTAATGCAAATCGCGCGAGTCCACGGTCCTTGCAAAAGACCCCAATTAGCTTGTTTTTGGAGTCCCTGCTTTAGATCTCTTGTGACTGCTGGTGAGGAAGAATGTAAGCAAAGGCTACTGTCAAGGACAAGGTCCAGTCCCTATTTCAAATGTCAAAGTCACTTCCCTTATCCCTACCCATCGCTTCGGAAGACCTTTGCAAACAACATAAAATTGCTCGAGGAGTTGTCTTGTCTGGATCTTGTGGGTGTGAAAACTTGACCATCCCATTCAAAATGCTAAGCCCTCAGACTAGGCTTGCCGTCGCGGCTGCAGGGACAGTAATTATGGTAGTTTCCGAAAAAGTGGGACCCCAACATAATTTTAAGATGCGACAATCCTTCTTATCATGGGGACCCTCAGGATAGACCCTCTGATTTGCGCAAACGCGAATTTAGGGTGCGTTTAGGGCCTAAGGGGAATGCCTCCAAGGACGCTTCTTGGTACATCTCCCTTTGTTCTTGCATTATGACTTTCACTCATGCTTGTGGGATCCGTTTCCTGGCTGGGAGTTCCGCGGCCGAATGCGGGTTAGGGTTTGTAGGTTTTCACTACGCTTAAATTTTCAATTGTAATCAGGCTATCTCCACCACAAAACGTCTTCTGAAACTTTTTTACTCAACTACTCAATTACTCAGACTTAAGCTGAAGCGTCTAAACAACTGAAACGTCAAATGCTGGAGGCCTCTATCAAGGGAACCGGAAGGACCATCATGATTGTGCGGGAGGCTTCTGCCCTGAGTATTGGCATCTTGCCCATCAAGTCAGGATTGTCTAGGTGAAGCAGGGAGTCTACATGCTTGAAGGAAAAGCTGCAGCTGCTCTCTCTATTCCATCAAGGCTTGTGGTTTTGCAGTGCGAAGGTGGAGGATCGGATCGTTGCAGGCTTGCCAAATCAGTCTAGCACGATTTGGGGTTTAGGGTTAAGTCTTACGGGATTCAAAAGCATCCTCCCTAGCATAACTCGCATTTCCATCCTTCTTCTGTTCTGGCATTACGGAATCCTGGAATCCTCAAAATCAGACCTATAGGGAGGTTAGGGCAGATAAAAACAAACCTTGCACCTGAAAGCCTGCAGCTCAAGACCCCTAAACCCTAAACCCTGAGCCTAAGCCCTACAGACCTGAAATCCAAAACCAGAAGCAGTTGTTCCTCAACCCCTCAACGTAAAACGGTTTGAAGGGAGTTTTGTCTAGACCGTCTTTAGTAAGACGCGTAGAGGTCTCCTGTAGGTATCGTGTACCCTAAACCTGAACCTTTAACCGCATCCTTTATTAGACACCTGCACCCCCTCCCCCAGCCGCCCACCTGCACGAAGTGCGCCAGATATGCTTCGCTAGGCAACTTCGTCGGCAGCTCTCCTGCAGGTGCCCGTTTATTCTACCCAAACCCCAAAAGTATGTAAACTAGTAGCCCTAAACCCCTATAAAGGCCATTATTTTACATACTTTTGGGTTCCAGGTACACATGAACGGTAATTAGGGTTTAGGGTTCAGGCTTTGGCTGTTGTCGGATGGTTAAACCCCAAGGAGCCCCACTCTTCTCATTCAATGTTCTACATGGCACTGAGGACCCCTAATAAGGGTTAACCCTTAGGTGCCTATAATAGGAATATAAGGGAATCCCAAAGGGTTAAGGGCCTAAGGTCCAAACTAAATCCCAAGGAGTGTTAAAACCCAATGATCAATGTAAATTACTGCCCATAAGACTATAGTATCCCTTTCTGCAATGCTACGCTCATGCGCGTGTCGCGATAATGAACGTGAGTTACACATCCAGGGGCACCGGAAATTCCGGGTCGAAGGGGTTTTGGGGCTTAAAGATGCTAGGGTCTGTATCTCTAATGTGGCTCTTTTCTGGTCTTTCTACTATACCTTCCTGCTTGGGTTCCCTGGACCACTGGTTCTCACTCTCATGATGTATGGGGGTTCGTCTTGTTTGAGTTCGTTCCCCACAAAACCGAATCTTCCGCATTCCGAGCCAAATTGCATTTGGTGATGTGTTTTGGGGGGGGGGGGGGGGNNGCGACGAAAGGCGGCCTTCATTTTGAGGGAGCGGTAGCAGGGATGTGTACTGAGGGCTGGGAGGGTATAGGAAGGAAATCCCCTTATTATCATTCTTGTCATTAGTATTCGCATTGTTCATGTCTTTCTTGCTGTTTTTTTGTTGGTCGTAAGTTTACACTTGCGTATCATTAAGTTACCCTAAACCCTAACCCTAA